CCCGACGGTTTCGGTTCGGGAGAGCGCACATAGTTCCAGCTCGTGGGAATGCGTCGGCTTTCTTAAAGATCCCGAAGGATTCCAAAGGATTTTCCAACTGCTTCCTTTGGTTTCTGTTGCGAGCCGTATGTTTCGTTACGTTGCGTTGCGTTGCGTTGCCGGGGGGGGGTCCGGGTCCACCAGTGAGATGTCTCGCCACAAGGAGCGAAACAACGAGCTCGTGGACCCTCACCGGGTCCACCAGCGGGTTGTTTTGCTTTGTTGCTGCTGCTGCTGCTGCTGCTGTTGTTGTTGTTGTTGGCTTCTCATTTCCGAAAAATAGTTATTATTGATCCCCCCATCACCAGTGCATGCGGTTCTTTGTTAATCAAAGTGCCCCCCTCGACGCTCGCATTTGGTTTTTGACGGAAAGTCTTCGTGCTCAAACTAAGCCCCTGGCCCCCCCGGATTACAACAACAATGGCTCCCACCTCAGACTTCCTTCAAATTTGCTCAGGACCCCCGCTCCTGAGACTGCTTTGCAATTTACTTAGGATCGGTGCTCCTGCCTGAGACTTCCTCGCAATTTAGTCAGGACCCCCGCTCCCATCCGAGACTTCCTCACAGTTTAGTCAGGAACGGCGCTTCCACTTGAGACTTCTTCGCAATTGAGCCAAGACTTCTTTGCAATTTAATCAAGACTCCCGCTCCCGCCAGAGATCCTTTCACATTTGTTATCCGTAAGGGCTTCGCCCCCTGCCGCCGGCCCCCTTCTCGGAGAATGGGCCATGGAAGAGCTAAGTCATGAGGCTTTGGCGCTGTCGTGCAGCAGTATCGGAACTTCATGCGAGGCCGATTCGCAATCGGCAAAACCAACTGGTCACAAGAGGGGTTACCACACAGGGCGATTGGTAAGACGTGTATGGTTTACGAGCTTGGTTACCACACCTTGGGATTAAAGGGCCGAGGGGATACTCGCAGTTTGGGTTACCACGCCTTGCGATGGATGTGCGTGAGGGGTGGCACCGAATTTCAGAAATGTGGCAAATCCCCTTTGTTTTTGGACCCTGACCCCGCGGATCTGCGTGAGGGGTGGCACCGAATTTCAGAAATGTGGCAAATCCCTTGTGTTTTTGGACCCTGACCCCGCGGATCTGCGTGAGGGGTGGCACCGAATTTCAGAAATGTGGCAAATCCCTGTGTTTTTGGACCCTGACCCCGCGGATCTGCGTGAGGGGTGGCACCGAATTTCAGAAATGTGGCAAATCCCTTGTGTTTTTGGACCCTGACCCCGCGGATCTGCGTGAGGGGTGTCGATTTCGAGCCCCCCCAGCAATTCAGACAACACGCCCAGGTGGTGCTAAAAATCTGGTTTGGGCCTCCCTCCCCTCGCGCGGTCAATCAACTAGTTACAGTAACCAGCAAGAAGCATAACTGTAACATTGGAAACTACAAACTACAACTGGTACAGGAAACTGCGAATCACGCGCCTCGCAGCCTGGTGGCCCCACAAGGGGGCCGGCGGATTATGGAATTGCGCTCTCGCCTTTGACTTCCATGCATTGTTGACGCTTCGCGAATCCCCACCAGCCCATCCAGAAACGATGCCCAAAGGAATTGCCTCGATCAGGGAAGCGGGCAGCACACAGAGGAAGGGTCCCCCAATGGAGGCTTCTTGGAGCGTCTTGGGGGCCTCTTGGCGGTCCCGGACGCCTCTTAGAGCGTTTTGGGTGCTTCGGAGAGTTTCTTGGGGCCTCTTGGGAGTCTCTGAGGAGCCTCTTGGAGGTCTCTTGGGCGCTTGTTGGGGCCTCCTGGGGCCTCCTGGACGCCTCTTGGGGTCCTCTTGAAGCGCTTTTGGGAGCCTGTGGAGCGCTCTTGGAGCCCTCTTGGGCCATCTTGGAGCTATCTTGAGGCCCCGGCGGGAAAGCCAAAAAACATTGATTTTCCAAAGGTTTTGGAAGGATTTTGGCCTCTTCAGGACCTCCTGGGGGAACTCTTTGGCCATTTGGAGCCGTCTTGGAGCGTTCTTGGGGCCTCTTGGAGCATCGTGGGCACCATCATGAGGCATCTTGGGATATCTTGAGCCATCTTGGAGATCATCTTTGGCTCTCCCAGGCCAGGAGGCCAACATGTGACCAAAACCATAGTAACGTCAACGATTTTGGCATTGTCGCCGAGGCCTCTTGGAGCGTCTTGGGTGCCTCTGGGGGGCCTCTTGGGGCCTCTTGGAGGTCCCTTGGGAGCCTCTTGGGGGCCTCTTGGGGCTTCCTGGCCACCTCTTGGGGCCCTGTTGGGGCACCCTTGGGAGCCTTGGGGGCCATCTTTGGGCCATCTTGGGTGTGATCGATCACAGGAGGGGGAGTTACGGATTACAGTCCCCCCCCCGGAAGCCAGAATGGGGCCCAAACCCTAGTAAAATCATTGATTTTGGCTTCCTCGTCGAGGCCGTTTTGGACGTTCCGACGACTCGCGACCCCCCCCGTCCAGGTCCAGGGGAGGGGGTAGGGGGAGGGGTAAACCCATCCCCGAAGGGGAAGAAGGAGGAGTGGAAGAGGAAACTCCCTAAACCACCGACGCCCAGAGGGCTGGTGGGATTTATTCAGAAATCGCGCTTTCGACGCTCAGGAAACACGCTGCGCCAAGGACACCACTACAATTTACTGAGTAATCGCGCTCAGGCATCCCGGTTGAATGTCCCACCTGCCCGACCCGCCCGTCAGGGGATCGCCCGCCCGTCGTGGGCTCCCGCCCGAGACTTTCTTCAGGAACGGCGCTTACGCCTCGGATTTCCTCGAGCGTTCACGCTCTTACCTTCCTGCTCCTCCTCCGTCTCCCTCCTCACTCATCCCTCCTCTCCTCCCTTCTCTCTCCCTCCTCTCTCCACTCATCCTCACGCCTCTCTTCCCTATCCCCTGTCCCTCCTCTCCCTTCTCCCTTCCCGCTCCTTCTCTCCTGGCGTTTTGCTTTTTCCTTCGTCCCTCCCCCTCCCTTCCTCCGACTCATCCTCGTTCTCTTCCTCCTCTTCTTGCAGGGCTCACACCAATTCCACTGGCGGGCACATGTACGCCCACGAAGGATTGTCCGCCCGTTCAGGTTTGCCCGCCTGTCTAAGCCCGCCGCCCCTCGCAAAGAGAAACGATCCCCCAAAGGGGGTGTGATCGAAGACAGAATTGGCGGGTATCGAGGGTGTGGGGAACTCGTTTTGAATGACACACGGGCAAGTAAAAACGAACAGTCTTATGATGATTGTTGTTGTTGTTGTTGCTGTTGTTGCTTTTGTTTTTGTTATTGTTGTTGCTGTTGTTGTTGTCGTTGTCGTTGTCGTTGTCGTTGTCGTTGTTGTTGTTGTTGTTGTTGTTCTTGTTGTTGTTGTTGTTGTTGTTTGCTGTTGTTGTTGTTGTTGTTGTTGTTCATGTTGTTGTTGTTGTTGTTGTTGTTGTTGTTGCTGCTGTTGTTGTTGTTGTTGTTGAATTCTCATTTCTAAATCATCATTATTGATGACCCCACAGTGGGGTTCGCGCCCTGTTTTTTTTACGCCGGGAAGTGAGGGGTCGCCAAACTGTGCCCCTGGCCCCCGGTTTACATCAACAGCGGCTCGCGCTTGATACGTCCTCGCAATGTATTCCCACATCGCGCCTTCGCGCGGGACATCTTCACAATTTGTGTAAGAATCGTGTTATCGCGTGGGTTTTCCTCGCAATGTATTTACACGCCGCGCCTTCGACCCTCAGCAACCACGCTCTCGCTTTGGATCTCGTGGCGATTCATTTGGGAATCGCGCTATCGCTCGAGACCTTCTTGCGGTTCATGCAGGGCGCACGCTTCAGCAACCCGCTGCTTCTTGTTCCTTCCTTCTATCCGTTCTTCGTTCCCCTGCCTTAGGGACTGCACGGCATACACGTTGCAGGCCATATATATACATATATATATACACACCCTTTGTGGTGATACGATCGAAGACGAAAGCGGCGGGTATCGAGAGTGTTGGATATACTTGTTGAGTGACCCGCCAACAGAGCAGAGCGAACAGTTTGAAACTTGTTGATGTTGTTGCGGTTGTTCATGATGAGATGGCTGACTACTGTTATGAGGAGAATAATAATAATGATGACGAGTGTGACGAATATGGTGGTGGTGATGTTCGATGTTGGTGATGGTGATGATGATGATGGGAATGGGGATGTTGATGGCTGTGGTGATGACGATGGTGAAGTCGGTGATAACGATTCTGAGTATGCTGCCGATGATTATGCTCAACATTTATATGATGAAGATGACGTGGAGGTGGATTGTGGGCGGGGGAAGTGGGTGGGATGCATGAGGGTCAGCAGAAGGAGGAGCAACAGGAGAACACGGAGGATCGAGAGAGGGTAAGGTCGGAGGAGGAAGAGGAACACCAGCAGGGGTATTAGCAGCAACGGCAGCAATCTTACAGCTAGATAATCAGGATATGCATTTTTTGGGGGGCACGCTCGAGCTTGGGGATGCCTTTCCGTGCATCTCTGTGTGCCCTCTTCCCCTTCCTTTTGCGCCCTCCACCTTCTCTCTTCTCCTCCGCTTCTCCTCTTCGTCGTGGTCCTCGTCGTTCTCTCGTTCTCCCAGCCCCTTCGAGACGCGTCGTACCGTACGTCTTGATTGGGCTGCGTTTGCGACCTGAGATTGCCAGTGCTGGTGCCCGAACACCTCAGCAGCACAGTCGAGGTGGAGATTGGGTTTGGAAGCGGATGTGCAGGTGGAGGAGCTCGAGGAGGGGGAGAAGGAAAGGGAAGGGCATAGCCAAATAGCTTGGAATAAGGCCTCACCTGTTTCAGAACGGGACCCAGGGCTCTTCTTAGGTGTTTCCCCAGGTTTTTTGGGGGCGTTCCCTTGGAATTGATGTGGCGTTGCTTTTGGTCAATCGGCTTCGTTCCCTACAGCTAAAAGGGTACCATTGCATGGGCCTTGCATCAGTACCGCTGGTACAGGTGGAAGAGGAGAAGGGATGAGGAAGGGTACGAGTAGGTGGGTGCCCTTCCTTTCAGGTGGGCAGCACTGCCCTGCGAGCTTCATGTACACGAGGGACTTTGAGCCGGGCTTGACCAACATCCCTGGCGCCGGCAAGGACGCCGTCATGCTTGTGTTCTGGAAGCGCGTGGGCGATCCCAGGACGTTCTCCTCGCTACTTCCCCGCTCCTTTTTCCTCCGTTCCCCTTCTCGTCGTCTTCGCCCACCCCCTGTCCCCTTCCTCCACCCCTCGTAACCTGGGCGGGGGCCGCGAGAGGCCCGATGCGGACGGCGTCCGCGCGCTGCTGGAGACGGAGCCCGCGCTCCTAGCCGCGGGCGGCAGTGTCGCGCTCCTGCTCCGGCGCCGATCGCCCACCTCTCCTGGTTGGCCTGACGGTGTGAATGTTTGTGTGTGTGTGTGTATGTGTGTGTGTGTGTGTGTGTGTGCGCGTGCGTGCGTGCGAGCGTGCGTGCGTGAGTGCGTGCGTGCGTGTGTGTGTGTGTGTGCTTCTATCCCGCCTGAGGGCCTGAGGGCCCCGCCGCTCGCGCCCGTCCACACCGCTTCGACCTCTTTCGCCTGGTCGCCGCGTGCGAGGCCGCGACCGTCAAACAGTTTTCGTTTTTTTTTTTTTTTGTTTGTGTGTGTTGTGACGGCCCGTCAGGAGATGACTCAAGCCGCACCGTCTCGCATGACGGGCTCCTCCAGCAGCCAGACCCGCCCAGGCGCGGACGACGTGATGAACCCCCCCCCAGCACGGAGCGCGGCAGGGACGAGACGCACCGCCCGCCCCGCTTCCCGATCACGCTCTACCCTTCGCCCAGGGCGCCCAGTACAAGGCATAGTCAATCACTGAGGACGCGGGCTCCTACGACCGGCTGCCCAGCAGACGACCCCAGGCTCTCCCGTGCAGTCCAGGAAATGTATGCGCACCCGTGGCACCGATCCCCGGCATGGTTCCCCATGTGACCTACCGGACCCATACCAAACGCAGTTGCCTTCCCACAAAGATGTGAAGTCCAGGGTAAGGGGATGAAGCTCTACCATGTGTTCCAGATTGACCAGTATGCCCGCCTGGAGCCAAACGACGATGGAACAACCAGGACCAGTGCGGAGCTACGCCGACGGCGTACGTGCGCGCTTGACGCTTCCGTCCGGAAATATAACCCAGACCAACCACTCAAGGTGGTGCGAGACTGGAAGCTCCAGAACCAGCGAAGCGCCAGCAAAGGCAGGGCCCAGCAGGCGCCGCCCTAAGGATAGCCTCGTCGCCGCCTTTGACGCTAGGAAAAGGCAGAAGCTGCACCAGCCGACATGACCGCCGACCTGTCCCAGCAACCGAGAGACCCACGGTGCCGAATTGACCGCGCACCACCACAAAGGCCGGCCCACAGGGTCTGGAACGCCGTGCAGAGCACGTTAATGCTGAACTCCGCCCCAGACGACCTGTGGGGCGTCCCCATGTACACCATCTCTTACGTGCTTTCCTTCCGAACCGCCGAGATGGCGAGCAAGGACTTGGGAAACGACACCTCCAGCCTTGAGGAGGCCCAGAGGTTCTTGCGAGCGCGCGCAGCCGCTACCTTGGACATCCGGGTCACCGACCCCGACGACGTCAGGGAAGGGCGGCAGCTGACAGCGCCCGCGATCACAGACGACGAACTCGAGCGATGCCCAGGGCACGTCTTCCAGAGGCCCCTTCCGCCCCCGCCGCCCGCCGACGCCTCGGCAGCAGCCGCCAGGCACGACCTCAACGACCTCAACGAGGCGCAAACCAGAGTCCTGCAGCAGTCCCTCAAGACTCTGACACTGCTCGTGCGCGGCCCCCGTGGCACAGGGAAGGCTAAGACAATTGCCGTTGCCTTTGACCTCTGGCTGCCGTGCGCGCCCCCAGACTGGGCCGTCGGCGTCTTCTCCGGCTCCAACACAAGAGCTGACATGCTGAAGGGCGTCCAGCGCGTGGGAAAATCGAGCCCCGATTCAGGATTCCCTCTCCAGGCCGTTAGACTGGCGTACCCAGACGAAGTGACAAACCAGGGGGCCCGCGATCTCACAGTGGAGCGCTTCAGGGCAACCTGCAGCTTTGACCTTTACATCGAGGGCGGCAAGAAGGCCCTCGCCAGGGGGAAAAAAGAAGCACGTCCAGGATGCCAAGCTATTCCTGGCCACGCACGAGATTGCCGCGGACCAGGGTAACCCCGACTGCCCAAAGTTACTCCTTGGCATCCTGGACGAAGCAGGACAATCTACCAAGGCCCTCGCCATCAGCGGTGGCGAGAATCAGCGGTGACGAGAATCAGCTCAAGCCCGCAGTCATCTCCGACCGGGCCGCAGCCGCGGGCGCGTCCCTCTCCGTGCTCAAAAGGTTCCGCGATTCATTGGGGGCCGACCTGGAGCGCGACGTGCTCCCCGACTGGTGCTACCGCGTGCACCCAGGCATCTTGCAGCGGCTGTCCTATAGTTCTCGCGAAGGCAAGCTCGTGTCGGGGTTCGCGAACTGCTCCGCCCGGAAGCCCGCGTGGGCCCCCATGGTGAGCGTC